TTCACATCTTGGAGCACTGGGTTGAAGTCTGGTCCCTCTTCCTGTGGAGATATAAACAATACCCTCCCCTTGGGTGGGTTAGCACGTGCACACTTCTTTCTAAGGCTTTCCAGACCTACATGTTTTGGCACTGCCTTTTTCTAACTTGTCTTCCACGGCCCTGGAGCTTGGCCACAGCGGTTTCTTTCCATGTTGCAGTTTCATTAGCATTGCTGTCCCTGAAATGTGGCAGTTCGCTCCTGCCATAGCTGTACCCTGTGCCTTCAGTACTTTCCTCCCTGATCTGTACTGGGAGATTGCACCCTCCCCCAGTGATCTCAATACAATTTTATTTCTCCACAACATTTATCACTATCTGAAATGGCCTTCGTTATGTTCTTATCTGACTTTATGCTGGAAAGAGGAGCCCTTTGGCAGAGTGGGTTAAGTTGGAATTAACGCATAGTGTGCGCTTGTTTGGACACTGGAAAGTACATTCTGTATGAACATGAACCTTGTTTATCTGCTTACTGCATAGAAGGTACTCAGTGAATGTTGACTGAATAAATTTGGTGAACATGTTTGTATTGGTCCTAAACATAAATGCTCATTTTAGGTCAATTATTTATGTGGAATAACCTTCGTTTTTTAAAAAAATTTTAGTAAGAACCTTAGTTCAGCCTCTCTTTTAGGGCAGTGTCTTGACTCCTTACTTGAGTGACTTTTGATGTTTGGCCCAGGGAACATCCACATTCTTCCTCCACTAAAACCCTCTGCACATCTCCAAGGCTATAAATATTTTTATGAGCAGACAGCCTCAACTTTTTTTTGAGTAGAAGATGTGCGTTTGAATCCCTGAACTTGTGGTTAGTAGCCCAAAGGTTACTCAACAGTACCACACCAGGATTATGGAATTGATTCTGGGAGGAATTGGTGCTTGGAATCTGAATTTTCAACAAGTCCTGTGGGTGATTTAAATGCACATTAAAATGTAAGAATGTCTGAGTATTTTCATTGTTTTTCTTGAGATTATTACTTCTTTCGAGTCATAATGATAGCTACCGTTTTTTGAAACACTGAATCAGGTATTATACAAAGAACTCTCGAAAGGTTCGCATTTCACTACTGAGTATCTCAGATGTTTACCAGCAGTTGGCGTTTATAAGTAAGAACCTTGGAGGTGAGGTGAGGTATTATAGGTGGGGGAACTTGACTGGCTGACTGTTTTCTTAACCTCTGTCCCTGACATCCTCTGAATGATAGCATTCAGAAAAGCCCGGTTTAATTATGATAAGCCATGTTTTTTCAAAGGATAAGATGATGTTTTAGGTCCCATTTCCAGTTCTGTCTTTAAGGAAGCCGTGTTGCTTTGCTGGCCCTCATGCCTGAAACTTCAGCAGTGATTATGGAGATGACGTTAAGAAATGTTCTACAAGACTTCTAGATAATCGTCTTTGTTGTATTGACCTACCAAGGCTTAATTAAATTTGGTGGGGTTTTTCCCTATCACTTTGACTTGTTCAAACAGCCATTTGAATTCTTCTGACTTTTCCTTTATTAATTTGGTTTATTTGGACATTTCATGAATCATCACAAACTGTAGCAATTTCTTACTGCTGCACCCTCTTCCAGGTGATTTTAAAAACTGTATCGTTTTGATGAGATTTGGTCCCAGAGAAGTACTTTCTGCTCTGTAAGCTTGGCTAACTCTCCCTGTTTATCTTTAGAGACTCGGATCTCACAGGGTCTTTCCCAGAACTCTTACCTAACTCATCCCAGGCTTTTCTAAAAAGCCATGTATTTGTGTCTCCTGCCCTTTCACCTTTTGTGTTTAATGATTTTGGGCCAGCTGGCTTATTGATTTGGGAGGCTCTGGAGGTCAGGGGGACCCAATTAGGCAACCAGTAGGATTGTTGATGGTTATAAGATTAAAGTCAAGACTTCTGTTTGTCTTTCAAGAACAGTACTTTACCAAATGAATTACTTGTACTGATTTTTCCCATAAAGCTTAATAAGACTTGGAACAAAAGCTCAATACAAGAAAGAAAATTAAGTTGTTTAACATTGATGTTGATAAATACTGACATTATAAGTATCCATCAGGAGAAAGATGGGGATTTCTACTCCGGTAAAGAGTTACAGTCTCAGAAACCCACCCTGTCCCACAAGGTGGCCATGAGTTGGAATTGACTCCGTGACAGTGAATTTGGACGGAAGCGGAGGAACAATTGTGATGTTGGCACAGGATTGGACAATGAATTGATTCATTTTTTTGAGCACAGGGTCGCTATGGGTTGGAACCGACTCACTGGCAACTAACAACATCCATGTTGTAATGATTTTGTAAAATTAAGCAAACCCAACTCTTTCCTTGGTACGTTCTGATTTATATTATGATTTTTTTTTTAAAGGATTATAGGACTTCTTAGTTACTAAACCAAAACCAAATTTATTGCCATTGGGTCAATACTGACTCATTATGACTCTATAGGACAGGGTAGAAACTGCCTCCCTGAGTTTCCTAGACTTAACTGTTTATGGTGGTAGAATGCTCCATTTTCTTCCTTGGAACTGCTGGTGCTTTGAACCACTATGCCAAGCTTGTTAGGAAAGAGAGAGAAAGGGGGAGGGAGGAGGGGAGGAAGAGTGTATGTACATATAGTGTGTTAGTGTACATTTTTGTGTGTGGTTCGAAAAACAACTACTAACTACATGGATTTTTGGTTTTTTTTTCAGTCGAACAGTGGGCGCATAGCTGTAGAATTTGTTAACCCAAAGCCATTCTGAAAGAGAGCTGAAAACATGATGGCTTGCTTGAATATCAATAATATTGACAATATTGGGAGCATACATATCACTCTTTTTTACCTTCTTTAATATGTTTAACTGGCACATCAACCATGCATGCCCCTAATTTACACTGGGGCAATCAGTCTCAGGTTGTTGCCCAAGGTCAAGATACTAGTAAATGGTGTTGTTAGGTCCATAGAAAACTGAGTTTGATTCTGACAATCCATTTACCTTGTAGCTTCTCTTTGGACAATTTTTCTTACTAACCCGAGTCCTCAGTTTTTTGCTTCACAGAATCATGGAAGTCATAATGAGTAAAATTTACTTCTTTTTTTTTATTGTTTCATCTGTCAGAATATGCAAGTAGAATTCCTTTCATGAATTTTTTTAGTTCTTATATCCTGTGTCACCTAGCACTTCTAATAGCCCCTCTTTATCTTTTATATAAGATGTGTTTGTGCTTAAAATGTTACAAAAGATGATAATATATAAAAATAACAACAAAAACTAATCCTCTCATTCATAAACCATATCTGTAATCATGTTCTTCTAGTCTTTTACTTATTTTAAATTCACTTTTGGTGTAAATGAAATATCATGTGCATATAAGCTGATAACCATATACTGTTGGCTTCACACACAATGAGCTTTTACCATGGCCTCAGAAACTTTCTCAACATGATTTTTACTCACTGCATATCATAAGATATTTTGGGTCTCTTGCTTGAAGTTTTTATGTACCACTGGGTATGTGTTTTTTACAGTTTTTCACTATTGTAAATAATATGATATACCACGGCTTTAAGTAGTTAATCTCAGATCTGAATAATTAGAGAAATCAGTCTAACTATTTCAGAAAGTTATATTAAAGACATTTTAATGAGATGAAGTGCTTTTTAATCCTAAGTCCACAAGTACATACAGCATGTCAGAAACTTACATGAGGACTATGAGGGTGACGCAGGACCAGGCAGTGTTTCCTTCTTTTGTGCAGAGAGTCACTTTGAGTTGGAACCAGTGATGGCACCTAACAACAACAGAATAAGGAAAAGGGAATGCCTTTCACTTTTCCAGTTTTTTAACCTTTATTTGAATTATTTTAACCTTAAATGTATATCGCTTTTAAAATGAAAAAAGATTCAGCTCTTTGGAAACTTTATTTTTCTCAACTAAACCATTCTGTAGGTTTTATAGCAAGCATATGTTTTATTAATAAAAATTTAAACTTCATTGCATTTGTTTTGGAGAAAGTTGCTGCCTTGTTGCTTATTTTCATACTGAATTTCATTTCCTAATTTTTTTTTTAGTCTTGCGGTCCAAAGCCCAGATGTGAGTTTCTGCTTTGTAAAACACAGACTGAAGCTGCTCATTGCTTGACTGCATTCACTGGACAGATATTATAGGTGCCGAGCTGTCCAAATTTAACAGCCAATAAAGATGCTTCAAATCAAGTTGATGGTGTCGTAAGAATCTTCCTGGTATAGTTCCAGACTTAGTGGTCAGTGTTCTGGCTGCTCTCATGACTTATCTTTTTTTAAAGATTTTAAAGAGTTAATGGTTTATTAATTCTCTGGTGAAAAATGCACATTACCATTGCAGATCAAGTCGCTGTAGAATCTTTGTTCTTTCTCTCTGCCAGCACCAACACTGCCCTTCATTCTGTTCTTGCGTTCCTTGTCCTTTTTTCTTGAGGTCTGTGCGTCTCCTACAGGCCATGTCTTGCAAGTCTGTGTTTAGGTTCAGTTTTCTTTGCATCATCCAAAGAACCGTAAACCATCCCGAAGCCAGTAGTATTGTCACCACCAAAATGGGTTCTAATTCCCAAACCAAAAATGACATCTGCTGTGGTCTTACACATTTTGGCTAGTTTTTCACGATTTTCTGTCTTAGGCACTGTCTCTGTCCCAGGGTGAAGGACATCAATGACCATTTGTTTTCCCTGAAGTAGTCGGTTGGTCATAAACTTCCTGGTCCAGATAGTTACTGAGTGGAGGATGCTCAGCAGCGTACACCTATTCAACCATTTCTACATGTCCAGTGGCAATGATTGCATTCTTGGGGTGGTCAGCCAATTTTGCCCTCCTTTTCTGAGTTATCCCTTCTACATTAACATAAACCCACTGCCTCCTTAAATTTCTTGTTTCATCTTTTGAGTTGTTGTGGTCACTTTGATCTCATATCTTAAAAGGAGCATATTGCTCAAGGCAGGCAGTTACTATTTTAGCTGAACTACTGTTTGGTTTTAAGAAGACTTCAGGGGATATTTTTGTCATAAGGTGTAAAGGTTATCTTGGGTCAGTAGTTAGAGTAGTTAGAGCCTCCATGGCTCTAAAATGTCTGGATTCCATGACAGTTTGAAATTCTGTTCTGCATTTCTCCTTATATGATCATGATTCTTTGGTAGAATCATTGATCAAATTGTTCAGTAATATTTTATTTTTATGAATCTTTCGCTCAGTTCTGCTGGTCTCATGGCAAAGGGGACAAGTTAGCCCCACATTTTATCTTTTCTGACTCTTTTCTCTGCTACTTGGTATCATTTGTTTGCTTACAGCATACTTTAAAAAAAAACAAGTCTTCGTTCTAAACAGTATGTACAAGAGAGCTTCAAAAAGTTTGTGAGAAAATGGTAATGAAAGATAATGGAATTTCCCATTAGCTTTTTGAAGCCTTCTCATATTTTGTTGCCTTGTTATTCTTAGCAAAGGTAACAGAAGAAATTTGACTTGAAATATTGAGCAGATGTTAAAAAATCCAGGTTGCTCTCTTGATCAGAGTGATTCTAAGGGTTTTTCCAGTCATGATGAAAGGCATCTATGTGCGGCTGTAGCACGAATGAGAGTTACAGTAGTTCAGAGAGCAGGAACTCCTTTGCTGTGTTCAAAACAAGGTAGATACGCAAGTGGAGATGAGCATGATATTACCAAAATCCAAAAGAACCTTGATTGTGTTCTAACTTAGTATTTGAATGATTATCATTCACAAACCTAGTATTGTGCTTTAGCTCACGATTTTAGAACTCAGCTGACTTTAAAAATTTTACCATGGTAAACTATCTGTAAGAAATACTTCGATTTTAACGGCTTTTAAAATGTTAGGCATCCATCATCATTATCTCTTCAATCTATTTATATCCCCTCAAATAGAAACTGTACCTATTAAGTAATAACTCCCCACTCACAGCTCTCCCTAACCCCTTGTGTTAGACAGGGTTCTCTAGAGAGATAAAACCAAATTCTTGATAATATAATATATTTATTTATAAAGGTAATTAATATATA